TGCACAGAGGGCTGGCTGGGAGCCCTGCCCTCCTCCTCAGCCTGGCTCTTCCGTGGAGAAGTGCAGGCATTGGGGGTTGGGCTGGTGGCCCTCAAAGTGTACAGCATTTCCAGTTGCACTGCACTCCTGCTGGGGTGTCTGAGGAAGGGGTGATCCCATTACAGAGCCAAAATGGCAGAGCATCGGGCAGGACACTGGGCCTGAGCCCTGGCCACATTTTTGCTTTGTTGGACTGGTAAGAGAAGGAACATTTTGGTTACCTGTGCTGACTGCGAGGGTGGTGCCAGTCATAGAAGGTGTCTCCACTTCCTTTAGTGGCCAAGGAGCCACAGCCCTAATATAGTGGTTGGAGTGAGAATGGCCCCCGTAGGCTCACATGTTTGAATGTTTGGTTCCTAGTTGGTGGAGTGTCTAGGAAGGATTAGGAGGTGTGGTCTTTTTGTTGGAGGAGGCGTGTCACTGGGGTTGGGTTTTGAGGTTGCAAAAGCCCATGCCAGACCCTCTGTTTTTGACTCCATCTTGCTGATAAGATAGATGTGAGCTTCCAGCTACGGCTTCAGCACCATGCCTGCATGCCTGCTGCCACGCTTCCCATCATGATGGTCATAGACTAACCTGAAACCAAAGGAAGCCCCCAATTAAATGCTTTCTTTTATATGCTGCTTGGTCATGGTGTCTCTCTACAGCAATAGAATAGCAACAAGACACCTCAGTAGGGGCCTCGTGACTCTTTCAGGTCTGCCGTTGGCCAGCCTCTGTTGTTGGAGCTTGGAGCTGGGTGAAGGCCCCAATCCTTGACGTGTGGCCACCCTTCACATTGCTCCAGGCCAATGAAGAATCCTGATGAAGCTTTGACCATGGTGGCTTCAGCTGGCATCAGGTAGGGACAGGACTGGAGATTCAGGCTTCAGACTGAGGCTTACCAAGGGTACAAGAGCAAGTACTGGCACCCAAAGTTGGAGGGTGCCATGAACTTAGGGAGCAGGAAGGCCCAGCCCTCCAAGGGCTGTAATAGGAATAAATCTCATTGTAAGTCTCTCAGCCACCAGGCCTTGGCTGTAGTGGATACCAGAGAGGCCTTGACTGAATGAGGACATGGGCTTTACCTAAATATGTTTATAAACAGAATGACCCAGTGTTTCCCCCAAGGGACAGGGCAGAAACACCCAGCTCCAGGCACACTCTTTCCCACCCACTACAGAACCTAGGTCTACTGTTATAACAAAACAGAGGAAGAGGAGCATTTGCCTGAGAATTATGTCCAGGGTGAACCACCCAACTACACTCCTGGGAGATCGCTGACCCTCGGGCACCAGCCAGTAGCCCAGCACAGGCCAGTGCTGACTTCTGGCCGGGTTTGAGATGGCCCGGCCTCTTGCCTGCTCCTCTGGCACCCAGGGAACTGTGTCTTGACCGTGTGTGTTCTGAACCAGCAGGTAGACCGTGGGAATCCTTTGAATACATGCCCAGTGGAGGGGTATCCCAGTAGGCTTCCAGAAGAGTTTGGATTTATAGACCAGAAGAAGCAGGTCTCCCAGCCCCCTTCTGGCCTTTGCGGGAGCCACTCTCTGGTATCTAGGCTCCCGGGTAGTTCAGCTTCCCACCCCACCCACATTCAGATATAAAAAATGCCCTTTGCCTCTGGCCTCATGAAGATCCCCTCTGTCCTCCAGCTGCGTCACTGTGGCCTAAAGTTGGCATTACCACCCCATGCCAGTTCCCAGTTCACTGAATGCTCTGTCCCTGGGCAGCCCCAGACCTGGCCTCAGCCACCAGGGGCAGCAGCCCAACTGCTCCAAAGCAGTGGACAAGAATGCATGCCTCCCTGTAGGCAGGAGAGCCCTGCGCTGCTCTTGGGGAGCAGGCAGGGGCTGGGAGAGAGCAGGAGCGAGCCCCTGGCAGTGCTGCCCCTGAGTAGGTCCTCGACAGGCTCCTGTCATCTGTGCCCTGGAGGTGGAGGTAGTGGGAGGCTGTCCTTGCTGGGCTTCTTTGCTTGGGTCCCGGTGCCATTTTCCTTCACAGGGTACAAAGCCCCTCCCTGTGACGCTGGCCCGTGGGCTGCGTGCACAGAACCGCCTTGTTTCTGCCCTTACTCAGTCCTTCCCTGCTCTCAGCTCCTGGGACCTGTGGGGGAGGAATAGCTAATGGCAGGCAGCACCCTGCCTCCCAAGCCCTTTGTTCATTCACTGGGTGATAGTTACTTCCTGGGTGCTGCTGGGGCCAACCCCACACTGGGGACAAGAGGGCGAGAAACTTGGCCCCTCCGTCTTGGAAGCACTGTCACTGGCAGGTGGAGAAGCAGGGCGTTGTCCAGTCACAGTGGGACGGGGGACAAGCTCTGTGTGCTCAAAGAGCGCCATACGCTATAGATAGTGCAGGGTCAGAGGTAGGGACTCCAGTGAGTGGAGTCGTGAAGGGTATGTAGGAGTTCTCATAGAACAAATTTCAAGAGCATTCTAGGCCAGGCGGTGGTGGTACACACCTTTATTTAATCTTAGCACTCGGGAGGCTAAGTGGATCTCTAAGTTCAAGACCAGCCTGGTCTACAGAGCGAGTTCCAGGACAGTCAGGAGGACTACACAGAGAAACCCTATCTCAAAGAAGAAAAAGAAAGAAAGAAAGAAAGAAAGAAAGAAAAAAAGAAAAAAAGGGGGGACATTCTAAAGAAACACTTGATACAGGAGGATGACTTTAAGTTTGAAGGCAGTCTGGCCTCCCTAGTAAGACTGTCTCAAGAGGGAAAGGGGGAAAGGTAGGTCTCAGGATTCTAAAGCTTAGCACAGACAGTGGCCTCTGAGTGTGGGGACTGTCTGAAGCTTGTGGCTGTCATGTGGAGGGGTCGAGGCGGGTGGTACTGCTCTACTGAGTGTCTGGGCTGTGGGCATTTGAGACCCTCAGCAGTTTATACAGCAGAGAGGCCAGAGCAGGTGAGCATCCTGAAACATCCTGACTGAAGGAGAGAAGGAAGGAGACCAAACTGAAGAGGATTCTAGTTGATCCAGTGGAGGGGCAGGGGGCAAGCTGGAAGGAACCAGTCTGGCCTGGGCAGAAAATACCCCCTTTTCCTGTGAAGAATTCACCAGAGGGTAGAATGGCAGCCATGCTGGTGGAGGCCAACCTGATCATGCAGCTTCTTCTGTGAGACCCACCACAGGCTGCTGGGACAGAGGAGTGACTCTCCCAGGCAGGCCCCTAAGCCCCAGACTCCAGACAGTACCCAGGTGAGCTGGACAGCTGGCAAAGCTGCTTCTGCCCCACTTCCAGCCGGCATCCAAGGGCCAGAGTTGCCTGCTGTGAACAGGCATCCTGTGTCATCCCCAGGACGATGGTGGAAGCTGAGCTCAGGCCTTGGAGCCCTTCACAGACTTCCTGACCTTCTGGCTACCCATCCTACGCTCCAGCCTGGCTGTGTTCCTTTCCTTCTCTGCACAGGCCCCACCCATGAATGCGGAGCCATTTATTCCTATCACCCTTCCCTGTGGCGAGAGGCTCCCCTGGTCTCTTCTAGTTCAGGGCCTTGGCAGCCACAGGGAAGCCCCTCTCCTCCAGGACATAATCTCCAGCCAGTATTCTAGAGTTGTCAAAACCAGTCTCTGAAACGGACAACGCTGGTTTTCGCTATTCTCAGACAGCTGAACCACTTCCTTCAGGCTGGGTGGAGGCTTGAGGGGGCAATAATAATCTACCGCAGGTAGATACAGTTCCCAAGAAGTGTGAGTCAGGCCTGGGGTAGTCCCAGTAGCATGGCCCTTAGCAGTGGAAGGTTTTCAGAGGCTGGCCCTCCCCCTGCCACACCCCAGCAGACTGCTTAGTGTGAAGCCATGAAACCTTGGGACAGTGGGAAGGAAGGGAATTTCTGGTTGCTAAGACGGGACTCTGCCTCACAGCCCTGGCAAGGCTGCCCGTGGCCCCTGGGATGAGGCCCACATGTCTTCAGAGGACTGTGAAGATGAGCCCTCCCTGGTCCCTCCTGTGCACAGTGCTGTCTCCCTAGAGTCCATTCTGAACTCAGAACTCAATCGCATTGAGTGTCCAGGCTTCTGCACCAGCTCAGTGTCCAGCCGGACTGCAGGTGTGGCCAGTGAATGGGTAGGCGTGGTCCTAGTCCTCAGCATCCCAGCAAGTGAATGGGTAGGCATGGTCCTGGTCCTCAGCATCCCAGCCAGAGAATGGCTCTGCTAGGAGCCCCTGGCATCCCTATGAGGCAGCAGTGACCTCCAAGAACTGGGCAGCACATGGCACCCCAGAGCATCAGGGAAGGGAAGAGTTCTGGTTGTCAACGCCCTAACTGTCCCCACAAAGCACCTGTACCAGGCCAGCTCCCTAGTTGCCAACAGGGTGCTCTCGCTGGGGGACCCTTCTGCTAGATGCAGACGGGAGCCGGGGCTAGCGGTTATTCTGGGGCAGAGTGGTGTGGAGTGGCAGACGGGAGTGTGTACCCTGGTGGGTCTGCAGAGGAAGGCACAGTGGGAGCCACAGTCCTGGCTACCTGGCAGGGCAGAGAGCACGGAGGTGTCTTCAAGGTAAAGCAAGGCCCGTGCTACATGCTAGAAGGCAGTTTCATAGTGGATAACTGGCAGTGACTTCAGAAGGCCGTTGTAGGGTCACTGGCTGCTTAGGTTTGAGTGTGGTTTGTCCCCCAAAGGCTCATGAGATGGAGGCTTGGTACCCAGTGTGACCATGTGGGATGTGATGGCACCTTTGAACGACTTGGGGTTTTCAGGAGAGTTGGGGTGGTTCTTGTGGGCACTGAGAGGAAGAACCTGCTTAGTAGTGAGTGTTTAAAGCTTAAGCCTGACCCCTGAATCACTCTCTTATACCACGTTCCTACCGTGACATCGTCCTTTATGCTATCCGTGAGAGAGTAACGTGTGATCTTCAGTCTCTAAGAAACTGGAGCTGCACAAACGTCTTCTCTTTATGTTGCCTGGGCTCTAGTATACAGTAATAACAGTGATGGACTGCATGCTGCTAAACTAATCTACAGCTCTGTCTTCCAGGCCCAGTGATGAGCATCATCCAGAGGTAAAGGCTGACGGGTATGTGGACAACCTTGCCGAGGCTGTGGACCTGCTGCTGCAACACATGGACAAGTGACAGGCCATCAGAGCCAGTGGACAAGTACACCACCCTGTGCCCATGCTTCTTCCCACCACTGTGTCCCCCTCCCCACACTTCCAGGCCCAGGCTACCCAAAGCTCTGCTGGCCCTGCCCTCTGCCCACTGCCAGCATGGGCGGGTGCAGGAAGTTCTGGGATGCTTGTCCCTGGGCCATAGCTGGACATCCCCTTCCTCAGCCTCCCTCCCCAGCCTCTGGCCTGCTCCCCTCCCTGGCCCATGCCATGTTCCCCATAGTGACATTCAGGAAGGCAGAAGAGACCTGTTAGTCCTCCAGAAAATGAAACCCTCGGACATGGCTGGAAGGTCCCTGTGAGACGGAGTCCCTGAGTTCCTTCAGTTACCATTCGCACTGGTCCTTCATTGGCACCCTCCAATTGGATGAGACATGTTGACTCCTCTCTCCGATGTGAGCGAGGAACCTACAGAAAACCCTGGGGCATTCCCTGTACAGTCCGGGAAGCCCAGCGCTGAGCCAGCCTACCCACAACTCACAGCCCTACGTGGCTCCAGGCAGAGTGACTGATTAGCACTCTGCCCCCTACCGCTTCCCTATGGCAGTCTAATGCTCTCCCTGTCCCCACGAGCTACCCAGACACGGACAACTTTGGGCAACCGACAACTACCCTCCCACAGAGCAGAAATGTCCACCTCTACAGTCAATGCTGCAGGCACAGGAAGTACCGTGGAGTCAGGATGCACAGACTTGAATGTGTTGTGCCCAGTGCACAGAACAAACTGACTCAATAAATAATCAACAGTCTGCCTTTGACTCAGCTTTTGTTGGTGAGGGTCTAAAGTGGGTAGAAAGAGAATGGAGGCCCCGAACAGGGTCTTAAGTTCCAACCCTGTTTCTGCCACTTGCTGGAGCCACTGAACAGTAGAGGGGCAAGGCTACAGAACTTCTTACCTGCTCTGACCCCTTTAAGAAATTAAGACATGGAGGCTGATAGTGGCCAAGGAGAGTTTCTTTGTCTCTAATGGGAGAAGACAGACCAGGGCAAACACCAGCCCCTGCCTCCTGTATTCATTCATATTTTTAAAGATTTTATTTTCAGTTCTGTTTATTTGTGTGTTACATGTATGTACGGACAAGCATGACATGGGTGCACTTGTGGAGGTCAGAGGAACAGCTTGTTAGAGCTGGTTCCCTCCTGCTACCTTTACAGAGTTTTGGGGGCTCGAACTCAGGTCATCAGGCTTGCATGGCAAGCACCTCTACCAGCTGAGCCCTCACCAGTCCTGAGATTTCATTACTACAGCAGAATACCAGAGGCAGGCTGAGTGTGGTGGGGTTGGACACTCATAATTCTCACACTTAGGAAACAGGAGCAGGAGGATCGTCACAAATTCCAGGCCAGCTTCAGCTACACGGTGAAACTGTCACAAAAATGGTAACAAAAACTGAAAGAAAAAAAGGAAGAAAAGAGGAAGAGCAGGTTATATAGCTCAGTTTGGGAGGTTGGAGGGCACAGCACCAGCCTCAGTTGAAGACTCATAAAGACCTCATGGAATCTGTCATGGTAAGATAGGAAGACAGAGGGGGTGTCCCTTTTGATGGAATGTCCCCCATCTGACCTAAGAAACTAAAGCTTTTGTTTGTTTTTGTTTTTTTGAGACAGGGTTTCTCTGTGTAGCCCTGGTTGTCCTGGAACTTGAGCTGTAGACCAGGCTGGCCTTGAACTCACAGAGATCTGACTGCCTCTGCTTCCCAAGTGCTGGGATTAAAGGTGTGTGCCGCTACTATCCGGAAGATTTTCCATATTTTAAAGGTCCCACCAGCTCCTGATACCACCACCTAGGGTATCAAGCTTCTACTTTTGACTCTGAGGGCAACATGACCGTCTCCAACCATAGTGCCTCACTACACTTGGCCATGGTGAGCCATGCTGTCCACAGTGGGACAAGACAAAGGGCAGTGGCCTTCTCAGAAGGGCCTCTGGGACAGTACTCCCTCCTACCCGAAGTGTTGGGTTTCAGAATCTGCTGAATGCATAGCTGGTATTGCTGTTTCTTCCCCCAATCGATCCAGAAGCCATTGGTGAATCTCTGGAGACTTCTCATGAAAAGAGGTCAGCTGAGGAATTGCCTCAGTGGGTAAAGAAGTCAACTGGAAGAGAGCTCACTGAGAAGGAAGTTAGCTGCAAGATGCTTCAGTCACTAGCTAGCCATTCAGGCATGAGGCCCTGTATTTACCTCCTAGAACTCAGGTTGTACCAATACATAACCAGGGCGGTGGAGACAGGAGGGTCCTGGGGGCTGAATGGCCTGTCAGCCTAGCCAAATCAGTGAGCTCCAGGTTCAGTAGGAGACTCTATCTCAGAAGATAACAGACAAGGATGGCAAGGTGGCTCCATGAGCAGGCACTTGCCATCAAGCCTGACAACATGAGTTTGATCCCTGGGGCATGTAAGATAAAAGGAGAGAATCAACTTCTGCAACTTCTTTTCTGACCTCCGCACCCATGCTGTGGCCCATGCACTCAGACATGCTCAAATAAACGCAGTGAGAAAGAAAACATAAGGTAGAAAGATGGAGGAGGAAGACATCTGACCTCTGGCACACACACACACACACACACACCATCTGAGGACCAAAACCTGAGGTTGACATCTGGCCTCCACATGTGCGTGCGTGCACACACGGCTGCCACTGTAAACACATAAAGGAGTCATGGGTCTTCCGTGAGAGGATTTCCCTAGACAAAGACACTCTGAAGCCTGACTCCCCTGGCACTGTGAGCACACCAGCAGGGCCTTGCTGGGCAGGCTGACCTCTAGTTTATCAGACAAAGAAACAGTGGCCAAATGTCTGCATCAGGATGAGGGGCCACCAGTCTGGCCAGTGTCACTGACCTTTAAAGAAGGGCCTTTGGCTTAATAGCTGGATACACAGCAAGCTCCAGTATTGTCCCACAGCAGCTCAGAACAGAGGGTGTGTGGACACTAGAGCCATGCAGGAGGCTGTGTTTGCTAGTGAGTGTGTTGTATGGGTATTGGGACTCTCTCTTTCCCTTTGTGCTTAGAGGTTGCCACACGGCTCTCGGCTGGTCTCTCCAGAAAAGCTGAGCTTTCTCTGCAAACCTTGGATTATCTGGGCAGAGATCATGCTGTCCTCTGAGCCACAGCGGGCTCAGTGAGATGGTCCTTAAAGTGATTCATCCAAGATCCAGAAGGAAGAGGCAGAGTGGAGACTCCAAGGTCTAGTTCCAACATCCTGTGCCCTTTCTAAAACTGGGTTCTAAGATGCTCCCTCCAGCCTCATCTGAAAGCCTGTGAAGATGGCCAGTGGTGACCTCAGGGCTGCAATCACCCAGCACACATCTGTCTGTCTTCTCCCACAAGAGAAGATCCATTCCTGCCCCTCTAGATCCAATGGCCCTTTGCCTCGATACTTCTTGAGGACAACACTGCCCAGTGGCATGACTTCCCTTCTCTTGGTCTTTCAGCTGCCCACCAGTCAGCCTCTAGGATTATCACAAGGGTTCCCACCGCCTCTTGTGTCCTCAACAGGTGGACCAGTCAGGAAGAAGCTGCCTGCAGGTCACCTTAAAAGGGGGACACAGGAGCCCCAACCACATGGCAAGGGTAGAGGGTGCTCAGGAACCCACCTCACAAGCCAGTGGGATTAGCATTGTAGCTCCAGCTTTCCTTCAGGTGGTAGGTATGTTGAACAATTTGCACTAAGTTTTGATGCTTTGGGGCCATAGAAGCAATATTACTGTAGGAAATAAAACCAGAAAGTTTAAAAAGAAACCAGTAACCATTGGAGGTCTGGCCACTGACCAGGCCAGGGTGTTTTTTTTCTTGATTTTCTTTCTATGCACATTTCTGTAACATTTCTGTGTCTTCTGCACTTTGAGGTCTACCTAAAATAGCCCCCTGACACCCCCACACCCCCGCTTGCAGCCAGGCTTGGGCTCGGAGGGAACAGTATCACACCATGCCCTGTTCGCTGGGCAGTTGCAGACGTCAGCGTTCTACAGTCCGTTCTACACTACACTGCTCTCTAGTGCACCAAGGGCCAGCATCAACTCACTCACAGAGGCCCATTGGGTCACCAGCCCTGTGTACAGACAGGGGCCTGCTTAGTGACTGGGAGTGTCCCTGAAAGAATGCACCCGTGAGCCAGCTGGACTTGCGGACTGTAGAACGCTGACGTCTGCAACTGCCCAGCGAACAGGGCATGGTGTGATACTGTTCCCTCCGAGCCCAAGCCTGGCTGCAAGCGGGGGTGTGGGGGTGTCAGGGGGCTATTTTAGGTAGACCTCAAAGTGCAGAAGACACAGAAATGTTACAGAGACATCAGGACAGAGGCCAGGGCAGTCATGCTGTCAACTTGGGCTGGAGCAGGGTCAATAGGAAGCTGGTACCACTGGGGAGTCTGAGGTGCAGGTAAGAGAATGTTGAGTCATCCAAGGCCACTGTGCCCTGCCTTTGGGGATCTGAAAAGCTGGGCTGTGCTTGGTGACTTTCTGCACCCTCTCTCCTGTTGTCACCTTACCTACCATAGACAGAAGGCAGAAGCGTGGTGTCCTGGGAAGACCAAATGATGGCCAGCCTGGGATCTCCTGAGTGTGCTCGAATTTAACTGCATATGGTGTATGTTGCATGAGTGTGGGTGTATGGTAGTGTTCATGGGATCCTCTCCCTGGCCCCAAGGGTGGTTTTGTGGGTTGTTTTGTTCTGGTGGCTCTAGGGAGTGAACCTAGCACCTGGCACATGCTAACAAGGGCTCTACCACTAACCTCTACCCTTAGCCCGTGGTTTTTGTTTTGTTGTTTTTTTCATTTTTTTTGTTTTTGTTTTTTGAGACAGGGTCCTCAAGCTGGCCTTGAATATGCAACCCTTCTGCTTCAGCCACCTGGGCACTGGGGGATACAGGTGTGTTTCACTACTCCAGAACACCTCTTTTTTCTTTTAAAATTTTTATTTTTTGTTATGTTCTGCCTACACGTCTCTGTGAACCACATGTATGCAGTACCCAGGAAGACCAGAAGGTGTCACTGGATCCCCAGAAACTAGAGTTACAAGTGGTTGTTAGCTGCTCTGTGGGTGCTGGGGACTAAATCTGGGGCCTTTGATTCTTAACCATTGAGCTGTCTCTCTGTCCACCGCCCCTCCCCCTTTCTTAAATTACATGTTCATAGATTATTGTTTGGCAGAGGATCTGTTGTCCAAAAAGCAGAGCAGAAGGGTATTCCAGGATGCCACTTCTAGACTTGCACACTGGCCACAGCAGAGAGCCTGGGAGAGCATTCCAAGGCCAGATCATAGGGACCAACACTGTGACAGAAACTCAACACTCTCCACTGGGGCCCTTGGGACTGTAGACATGGTACATCTCCTGAGCTTCAGTTATCCAGGTCTCCAGTCTGGAGGCTAAGCACAGGGCTATGGACCCATTCTGGAGGGTGAACTGTGTGTTCTAATGTCTCTACAGCCCAGGAATCAGAGTTCTGAACTGTGCTGCCCTCCGTGGGAGCAGAGGCCCCGAGTTGACAGCCCAGCTATACCTCAGTGCTGCTCTTTGGAGAAGGAAGTTGGCTGCCCAGGCCCTGCGGGACTCTTCTTGGTGGCCCTGTCTCTCAGCCAGGTCAGCTTCCTCTCTTGCTCTCACCTCAGAAATAACAGGGTAGCATGTGCCCCCGCCCCCACTGCCTCAGGGCGGCCTAGGTCTCTGGCTCCTCTGGCGCTGTGATGGTGGCTGTGGCTAGCCCCCTCTAGAAGTCGCTCCCACAGTCTGTCCCCAAGGCATGAGGAC